GGCTTCATCTGCCTCCTCCGCAGCCTTCAGCCATGTGTCAGAGTCTACAGTCCCTTGTCTCTTGGGCTCTCTCTGTAGTCACCTGACTTGTCCTCCTCAGCCCCAGAAGTTCCTGCCCACGTGTCCCCACCGCCCCAGCACTCCCTGTGACGATGTTCTCCTTCTCTCCAAGGTCAACCCACTGCCTGACCCTCTGTCCCCTACCCTTGGCTCTCTGGGACCTCACTCCATCAAGCATCCTCTCTCACTCATATTTTCCCCCTTCAAATGGTTGCTACCCTTGCAAAAAAAAAAAGTGCTCAAGCTCCCTCATACTACAGATACTTTTTCTCAACCCTGCTATTTCCTTAAGCGATTGCCCTATCATGTCCCATTCTCCTGCCAAAGATCTTTAAAGGCTAATCTGCACTGGTCTTCTCCACCTCCTTATGGCCCCATCACTACTTTAAATGAGTAAAAAATTATTAAACGTAAAACTCATACACGCACATGATAAAAATTCACTGAAGAAAGTACAACACGGAAACGTAAAACCTCTTCCTGGGAGGGAGAGATGAGTAAGTAGGCCCAGAGGATCCTCATGGCAGCTACTGTGTAGAGAGGCACGTTTGTCCAAACCCAGAGAATGGACACCATCAAGAGAGAACCTTACAGTCAACTGTAGACTTTGGATGATTAGGATATGTCATTGTAGGTTCGCCAATTATAACAAGTGTGCCCTCGTCTTGCTGGCCCAGACAATTCAGGTATCAAGCACACACAGTGTGCTTAGGTAGGGAGACCCTGCCCTTGGGGTGAACGTGTGAACCAGGTCTAGAGCAGGAAATATATGAGAAGACTGTCAGGGAAAAAGCATGGCGGGAGGAACACCCTGCCTGTGCCAGCCTCTGCCTACTTACTGGCTTACGACACAGTTGTTTGGGGACAGATGCTCAGACCGGTTGCAGCCAACCTCCAATCATGAGGGAGGGCCAGGAGAATCTCAGACACTCACCCAAGCCCTGGATCACTGAGCCTCTGAGCCAACTTCCCAGCTCCGACTTCCTGACAGCCAAGAAAAACAAGCCCCCCTAATCAAAACCAGTTACTTTCTACCTAAAATATTTGAATCGATAAATATGATTAGAGGCCTGGGCTACAAAAACTGAAGTATTATATTCTGCTTGTTCTCATGATGCTCTGAAATGTAAATCTACATGCTTTCCCTCAAAACACCCTAAGACCCCTCAGAGAGAATCCAATCACAGCCCCAGGGGGGATCCTTAACCCTCCTTCTATCCCCAACCAGACCTATCCCAAAGGAGACTGGTGTGATGCCCTGTAGGATCTTCTACCTTGTCACCAAGGGTCAGGAAAAGGGAGCATATGTCACTTTCTTTTTGATAAAGAAATTCCTAATAAAGACATTCTTAATACATTCAAACTAAATAAAGGGCTTAGTTTGGTTTGCCTGATGTGATTAGGTGAAGGAGAGAAAGGGAATAGGGGTTATTGCCTCCCATGAAGCCAATAGCAAGAGTAGGATCTACGAGTGATAAAACACCTAGAAAGCTCAAGGATACAGTCTTGAACTTAAATTACAGCAAGAAACCTCATTGGGACCCAGGGACTTTCCGGTCACCAGTATTAGTAGGTGATATGCCATAAATAAACCGAGCCTGGATCTTAGGAAAGGTGGTAACAAAAGAGAACTTCCAAATACATGGTGGAACTCATTGAAAAGCAGCCTCCACTCCCAACCTTGGTTGAACTTTGCTGTGAGGATGGGAGATGATGTATGTAAAGATCTTGGCCCTGAGCCTGGCACTCAGTAGGTACAGAGCAAATGGTAGCTGTCGGTGTCACTGGGTTCAGCGCTGAGCTCTCCCGCAGAGGCGGAAAGTGAGGAAACAGTCTGACCAGAGGGATGACACTTGGAGTCACAGTCCAAAGTCCTCTGTGGTCGAATCTGGAGTTAGAATCTACAGTTGGGTTTGGGTTGGTCCTCTATGGTCAAATCTAGAGAGGCCCAGAAAGGGAATCAAACAGGATCAGACTGAATTGGACAGAGCCACCAACCAGCACCTTCATGAAGGCTGCTGGCAACACGGCTCATTCACCTACAGCAGCCTATTGAAAGGGCCAAAGTGGCTAAGATCAGTTTAGAAAGTCCCTAATTCATCCAACGTTTAACTGTACATCTGTTCATGCTTTAAATATACCTCCGATCGCTCCTCAAAAGTCCTCACCCTGTAGCTTGGTAAAGGATTCCCATCACCTGCCTGCTCTCCAGGGATCTCTCTCCACTCTCCCAGCTCAACCCCCAGTGCTCTGTCCACACTCAGCTACACTCAGCACCACTGCTTATGTCGTTCTTGCTTTTCCTGCTCCTCTGCCTGCAGTGCCCTCCCCTCCCCTGTAAACTCACAAGCATGTCACCTCTCAAGGTTCGGTCCAGCTCACCTTTGTCAGCCTTTCCCTAACTACCCTCCGGACAGAAGTGACCACTCTCTTTTGGTTACCCTGGGGCCCATGCATACTTCTGTTATACCGCCTAGGATGCTTAACACCTCTGTGTCCATTGCCTGTGTCTTTACCCCCCACTATAAACTCCTAATGACTGGCTGCATGTGACTGGTCTTTGTGTCTGGAACAGAGCTGTTGATTTATAAGTGTGTGGGGGATGGATGCACGGGTGGATGGACTGGGATCAGTGTGTGTCGGGGCTCTGGTAATACTGGGATGAAAGCCCTTTCCCTGCCCTCAAGGAGCTCCGTATAGATGACAGAAAAGGAATAAAAAAGAACGATGACCTGGGATGAGTTGGGCACAGCATGATGTGTGACCTCAGCTGAGGGGCACCCAGTCCAATGAGAAAAAGAGTTACGTGCTCAGGGGTACTTCCTAGAGCAGTCAGCAGGTGGCCTGGATCCTGGTGCACCAGCACGTCTCTGATGGGCCAGAGCTGTAAACCCTCCCGAGGCCAGCACAGCAGAGTAGTCTACGCTCTGAATTCTCCACTGGGCTGAGGCCACAGCGCTTTCTGAGAAGTGGAGCAGACACCTCCTCTGCCATCTGTTTGTGGCCCATGTCTCACATAATCCCTCATGAAAATGTCTTCTTCAGCTGTGTCCCGTGGCCTTCGGCCCTAAGGCTTTAGACATGACTTCCTAGAGCTGAGCTGTAGGGCAGACAACTGAATTGCCCTACACCCCAGCTTCTGCTCCAGGTACCCAGACCCTCAGGGGACCCTGTGCAAATATTCTTTGGAAGTTTCACTCCACCAGTTTACCAAACATTCCACTCCCACACTCTGAGCCAGGCTGTGTTCCTCATTTTGCCATTTAATTTTAGTAATGATTAGAGCAGCTTCCAGGAGTCAATTTTCTTTCCTTGAGAAATCATGCTATGTTTGGGGTTCCACAGACAGGACAGTCAATGAGAAGTCCAGCTCTGACCCAGGCCACATCTCTCTAAAGTACTCTAGTTTCCATTTAAAACTCACTGGAAGGGGACCAGGCGAGAGTCTGCCTCCTGCTGGCAGGTAGTGGGTTTTTGACTTTGTGTAGGAAAGATCTCACAGCACAAGTCCAGGTGAATTTAAGAATGTATTTATTAAATCTGGTGATAGTGAGAGTTTAGGAGAAAGAAAATAAAAATCTCATGTCTGAGATAAGGCTGGGTGTTCCAGAGAGAGCCCCGAGCTGGCATCCTGTGTCTTGAGGGCTTTTGTCTGTCTCAGGTGGAAACCCTAGGGAAGGTCTCAGGGGCAGGTTTCAGCAGAATATTCATCAGCTTTCTAGGTGTGTTTTTTAATATGTTGGAAAATTATTAACTTTTTTCAACATATTAAATATGTTGGGTACATGAGTGTATAGAGGGACTAGGGTCATTTTCTGGTCAGCTTTGCCTCTGTCTTGGATTTATTTGACTCTGATTTTGTTTTGTTTTGTTATTTTTCCCCCTGACTTCATCTGTCCTTGGGTTTGGCTGGCATTCATGGCACAAACTGGGTCTCTGTTATCTATCTCCCTGACCAAGGTGATTCAAGCTATTTACTCTCCGGTTAGGGAGAAGAAGTGTAAACTATTTGCTCTCAAGTGTCTTCAGTTAGGGATGATAAGAAGACGAGATCTGTGATTTACTGGCTGGCTGTAAGTTGCTTGATTTGTTTGGCTCTATTTGTCTAACCAATTGCCTCAGTTTCCTTTTTCCCACTTGTCAAAAAAATTCTCCTGACATCTAACTATCCTGCCTCAAAACTTCCTGGGGAAAAGGATGGTTCACTTTGAAAGGAGCTGGCTATTTTTTAATTTGCTTATTTAACTTACCAAACACAGAGGGAGTCAGAACGGACTTGGAAGAGCAGACTTCAGTTACCTACCAGGGAGCAGGGGCACCCCAGGAAAGAGCATCATCATGTCCAAAGTAGACAACAGCTACTCAGCCCCAACCACTGCTACAAAGGAATACAAGCTGTTTCGTCAGACCCGACTTTGAGAACTGCAAGACCAGATTCTTTTGTGAAATCTCCAGATTTTTAAATGTAAAGTAATTCCATTGAAACACTCACAGCAACAAAAACCCTGTGCAGGCTGAGTTAAAGGCCCTGGAGACAACCTCAAGATCAGTCACAATTTTAGTTTTACTTCTAAAGAGATTTCAATGAGTTCTATTTCTTGAATGATTCTGTTTGCATGCTCACTCGTTTTCAAAACCATCTGTCCCAGAGGGCAAACAAAGATTTTGCTCCAGGAGGTGACTGCCTTCTCAGTGCCCTCCCTGGAGCTGGTCTGTGTGCTTTGGGATTCCCCAGAGAGTGTTCTGACCCTGCTTTCTGCCAAAGGGCAGGCGCTTCTACAAGAGCTGAGGACAACAAAGACACCCTGAGCACAGCTACTGATGAGTAAGTGCAAGTATGCATTCATCGCTAGCTGGTGAATCAGCTGAGTGCAATGTCTTTGGGGCGGTCCCTTTAAAAATCGAGCACGCTATCGGGCAAACTCCTCCTCCAGGGAGGTTCCTTTAAATGAGAGCCAGCTGCCTGGGCCTCCGCTCTTACTCGCGAGCAGTACCTGCAGTGGAGGACCGTCCCCAGGAGCAGCAGCCTGTCAGCATGGCTCAGGAGTTCGTGAACTGCAACATCCAGCCTGGGAAGGTGGTGGTGTTCATCAAGCCCACCTGCCCCTACTGCCTACAGGTCCAAGAGCTCCTCAGACAGTTCTCCTTTAAAGAAGGGGCTTTGAAGTTTGTTGACATCACAGCCACCAAGGACACAGACAAGATTCAAGATTATTTGCAACAGCTCACAGGAGCCAGAACGGTGAATATGGGGTTTTGTTCTAAAGGTTGGGGGAAAGGCTACCCGATTCCCTTTTCTTGTTAGGGCCCTGAAAGGGTAGCCTGTGCCTTTCTCTAGGACACCACTAGGGCTCCGTCACTTAAGGCTCTGGGAGGGCTGTGCGAGGTGGGGGAGGGCGCCTGAGAGAAGACACTGCTCCCTAGATGGGCAGCTGGACGGCAGCCAAGGGTCGTCTTAGAGCCAAAGAAGGGACCTGGCCGACTGTGCTGGGTGTCAGGGTCCGTGGGTTCAGCAGCTGTTAGGGGTGTGAGGAGTTAGCTGGAGTCTTTGTTTTAAGCACGCTGAGAAGTGACAGTTTTCAGCTTGCAGGGCTGGGGGTGGATGGTGGAGTGAAGGGGCCAATAGTGACCTGTACATTTCTGTTGTCCACATGGGAATTGTGTGCACTCTCTGTTTTCACGTGGGCAAGTGGGATTTGCTGCCCTTCAGTCTTTTCTCTAGGATCTCTTTAACCTTAACCTAATTCACCCATTCTTACCTAATTTCTTCCACATCAGACTATGACATTTTATGCCTTAATATATACAAATTTATTTGTCAATTATACTTCAGTAAAGCTGGGAGAGATTATTTTCCATCCAAAAAAAAAAAAATGACCCCCAGGTAATTCCAATTTGCAACAAGTTTGGGGAGCTATGGCCTTCAGCTGTTCTCTAGCAGGAGAAACAAACCCTTCATGCATGCATTCAACTTTTTCCCCCCCATTTCTTTGTAATGCAATGATTTTTTTCCTAGTGGTCTTTTAAGTTTGTTTTTCAATTTAAAAAACTGTTTTTCACAGCTTCCTCCAACAATTCCTTTAGACTTGTGTGCTTTATGATCCCCCAAAACAATGGGTCTGTGTTGGGAGAGACTGAAAACTTGGAAGCAGTTGCTGTCTTATCCTGCACTGGCCTATGGTGCTGTGCATACAGCAAGAGCCCAGAGGGCTTGATTGATTACAGAAATGTATGCCTTCAATCAGGCCATGTACTTGGAGAAACCTGTTTAGGTTTTGCTGTAGCCACATCTCTCGGATCGGTGCTTTCATTTAATCAGTCTCTAAAACTCTTCTAATGTAGAGTCGAGTTTCTGACCTCTGTCATTTTCCTTCTCTCTGAAACTTCTTTAAACATTCCTTGCGAGGCAGGTGTACTCACAACAAATCCCCTCAATTTTCATTGGTGTGAAAAAGTATTTCTCCTTTCCTTTTGAAGGGTAATGTTGCTGGATACAACAAATATTTTAAAGCACGTACTACATACTAGGCATTTTTCTGGCCACTGGAAACACCTTCATGAACAGAACTAACAAAAACTCCTGCCTTTGTGGAACTTACATTCTAGTAAATCCATTAAATAAAATAGTATGTTGGGAGGTGATACGTGATGTGTGCTGTGGAGAAAAACACAGTAGGAAAGGGAGGTAGGCAGCAGGCAGGAAGGTACAGCTTTAAATGGAGCCACCAGGCCTCACTGATTTGACTAGGTCTCTAAAGGAGGCGAGGGAGCAAGGATCACAGAAATTTAGGAGTAAGTGGTTCAGGCCGGGGGAATACCAAGTGCAAAGGTCCTACCTAGGCCAGAAGTGCACCTGATAGGAGTCCTGTGTGGCTGGGGCGTTGGAAGCTCCTAAGGCAGTAGGAGGAGCTGAGGTCTGGGAGACAGTGGGGTACAGGCTGGGAAGGCCTTTCAAGCTATCATAGGACTGTGGCTGGTGATGGGAGATGAGCAGAGGCGTGACCTGGCCCGCCTTAGTTTGGAAAGGATCACTCTGGCGGCTGTGGGGAAAAGAGATTGTAGGAGGCCAGGTTGGAGGTTGAAACAGACATCTGGAGGCTATAGCTTTAATTCAGATGAGGAACGATGGTGGCTTGTACCAGGGACTAGCCAAGGAGGTGGTGAGGAGCGTTGAAAAGTAGCTTTGAGTAGCCACATCTGAGCACCCTTACAGCACAGACGATGCCATCTAGCTGAGGCTGGGGATTGGAGAAACACTGCAGGAGAGTCAGGGCCCCAACTGTACCAAGCTTGTTTGGGGTGGGAATTCTCATTCTGCTTCTTGGCAGTAACAGGCTCTCACATTCCTCAGAAAAGAGGGATGGGGCCAGGAGGGGCAGGCACTGAGGGTGCAGGTTCTCTTCCTTCCTGTGCTGAATCAGTTTCCTGTTTCGCCACCACAGCCCCCAACACTGGCAAGTGCAGCCTGTGATTCAGCTCCCTGTGGAGGTGGTGGTAACTGGTGGCTTGAAGGTGGTTTGGGGCTGTAGAGAGGGTGGATGTAAGGGCCAAGGGGCCTTTCAGTTCTTGGGCAAGCAGCTTCCTTGCCAGATGGTACACGCGAAGCTCCATCCTGGAGTCAGCCTGAGCGATCAGATTTCCAGCCTGTCTCAGGCATCTGGGGGCTGCTGTAGGCCTGTGGGATTTCGAAGCCTGTCACCCGGGAGGAATGAACAGCTGCTCAGTGTCAACCAGTCGTTTGCAAACATGATCCCTGGAGCAGCAACATCAGCATCACAGGGAACTTATAAAAAATGCAAATTCTCGGGCCCCAACCCAGATCTCCTGTATCAGAAATTTGGGGGGCGAGGAGGTGGTGTAGAAATCTATGTTTTAACAGGCCCATTGGCAGTTCTGGTGCACATCCCACTGTCTAAAAAGAGGACTCCTGGTTTCTCAGATCTCCTGCTAACTTAGCTCACACCCTCATGGCCAACACCCCGGTCAAAGGTAAGAGATGTGGCAAGCTGTAGGAGTGGTGACCACTGCTGAACTCTTTTCAAAAAGACTGAAATTCTAGAATGACTACATCTCTTCCTTATACAATATAAAAGTCAGGTGATTTTTATTTCATTAGGCACTGCCTTCCACAGGACTTCTGCAATATAATTATATTAGAACTACATTAGGATTCTGTTCCAATTAATGTTACAACTGACCACAGCCAAGTATTCTTAGGGAGACAGGCCAAAAGGCCCCAACAATTTGTGGGGGAGGCTTTATTTTCTCTAAAGTAATGGCCAGGACCCAGGGGAAAACTTATGCTTCTGACCTCAACTTTCTGTGGCCAGTCCTCCTTCAGCCTCATAAAAGCAATGTCGACTCCATGACACTGTCCACTTGCAAAGCCCCGCCCATGCCTGCGGTGCCCTGGAGCAGGCGGCGCCCTCTCTGACTTGGGAAGGCTGGTGCTGGGCCTTCTCTCTGGAATGCAGCCCTGAGTGCTCTTTCCCACTCTTGACACAGGCAACATCTGTGAACTTCTTTTTAAAATTCTGGCCTTAATTTTTAAAGCCCACTTCCACCCAGACCCCTTCTTAATAAAAATAATGCAGGGTCTTACCCGAAATAATTCAGCCCCTTTTCTCATCTCTCTCACGTTTTAGAAAATTTACTTGAGTTATTATGGCTTCTGAGGAAAGCCGAAAGCTTTGAAAATACTCTTAACCGCTTCCTGTCTCTCGCCTCTCGTGGGGTGTTCTGAGTGTTCAGGAAGACGACCTGCCTGCCTCTGACCACACAGGTGGCTGGTATTGTGCTTGTTGCTTCACGCCCAGCCTTTCTGTAGTGCCCTTGGCCTGGAAGTTGTCTGGGCCACTCCTTCCTCCTTCAGGATTCCAAGAGCCCCCTGGAGTTCTAGAATGTGCCTGTACCTAGCAGCAGGGAGGGAGCCTGCATGTGACTGGGGGTGAACGAACTCATCAGGTGTAATGACTGCGTCAGCCTGGCTTGCCTGGGGTGACCCACCCTTGCAGGTGTGAAACTAAAAGCAGAGGAATGGCCTTGCTCCCAGGGTGGCAGCACTCAAACATCCTAGGATGGGCCAGGAACTGAAGGAGACTCAGACAGCACCACCCCTTCCCCAGCTGAGGACAGAGCTCACAAAGGAGAGAGAGGACTCTAATAAATGCTGGACCTAAAAATCAGGGACAGAGACCTAATGCAAATACTTTCCCTGCTGTATTTAGAAACAAACTCCTTCCTGGTTGCCATGGCTCACTTTAAGGTCTCAGGCGTGGTCCCAGCTGCACAGAAACCAGAACTCAATCAGGGTGGTCTAGCTGCAGTCAGCCAAAACTCTCTTCCTGAAACGTGTTTTGGTAGAGTGAAAATTTTAAATATCTTTGACAAATTAGACAATCTCATGCGCAGTGCATTCAATCTGAAAGACATCTTGGCTTAAAAATGTTCTTTAATGGATAATTTTATGCTTAGAATAAAGTTTTGACCTGTAAGAATATACATGAGCAGATTGTAAAGTGATTTGAAAAGCTTGGATCATGGGCAATGTTTAGAGAAAGGATAAACTGTCATTCTCTCTAAGCTAATAATTTAGTTCCTTAAATGTCCTGGCTTGTTTGCTTTTTTTTAGGTACCTCGAGTCTTTATTGGTAAAGAGTGTATAGGTGGATGCACTGATCTAATAAATATGCATGAAAAAGGGGAACTGTTGGTGCGCCTAAAGCAAATTGGAGCTCTACAGTAATTACAGGTGAGTGACGGGTGGGATGCTGGGCCAGGAACACTGGGAGACAGTGGAATTCTACTGCCATGTTTTATCACAATCTAAGAAGGCACTCTGGCTAGGGGAAGGATGTTTTGGAGTGATCTGAGGAACTGTAATGTTATTTATGAACTTCCCTTTTTACAAAGGGATTGTGTCAATGGAAGAAATCCTTTCACGCAACCTTCATTTTACAAATATTTATTGAGCATTTACTATGTGCCAAACACTGTACTTGGCACTGGGAACATAGTGATGAACAAAAAGATAACATGAAAGTTATATTCTAGAGAGGTGGACAGAACAGAAATAAGTAAATAATTCCTGAATCAAATGAATAGACCAATGTGATAGAACATGGCAGGGGGTGGGGAGCAAATTTAGCTAATTGGTGAGGGAAGGCCTTTCTCAGAGGGGCTGGTTGAACTGAGATCTTGCAACAGTCATGTAAAGATGAAGCAGAAGGGCTTTTTAGATGAGAAAATAGCAAGTGCAAAGGCCCTGAGATGACTAGTATAGAAAATTCAAGAATCAGAAAGCAAAGAAGAGCAGACTGAGTAGAATACAATGAGAAGGAAGAATAGTAACAAATGTGGGCAGGGGCCAGAGCTCACAGGCCCTGGTAAGCAATTAGATTATAATTAGTGAAATGCGAAATCAAGTTATTTTTGCTTCACCCATGTTCACAATGCAACTCAATTTCAATCTAATAGGCTTCCCAAACAGCAAAACAGAGTTACTAAGATGGTAACCTAAAGGGTGTCCTTGGCTGAATGGGAAACCATAGGGCGATGAACTCTTCAGAAAGGAACCAGGGTACTTTTGGGGTCTGACCAGCTCCCTTCTCCCTTGGCTCTTCTTAGTGCTAGCTAGCTTCTAGCTAGGCCAATTCCACAGACTCATACACAGAGAGACTCAGTGGTGGTTTTTTAGTCAAAGGAGATATTTATGGTTCTTAAGCCAAAATGTTTTTTGAGGGGTACTTATTGCCCAATAATTAATGACTTACCCTTGAGCAGTGAGTATATATGATTTGTGGTGGTTACTCAAAATAGCAACAGAAGTAAAAAAAAAAAAAAAAAAGTTCTGAAAAAATGCAACTGAATCCTTTGAAATAAAAATCAATATTATAAACCTTCTAGTCACAACTCTATGACATCATCGCAGCAGGTGAACAGTATGTGCGTCTGTGTTAGCTTTCTGGCCTCACCCATGTACTAAAGCACTCTAAACTCAATTGTGATGCCAAATGTTTTCTATTCTAGAACCCTTTTTTGTTTTTTTTTTTTAAAAAAGCAGTTTAGGCTTGGATTGAGAATGGAAGAATAGAAGAAAATAATGACTTTCCTGGGAATATGGGAAATATCATTTCCCCAACGATTCAAGTCCCCTATATTCATAAGGCCTCTTTATTTGCATTGTCCGTTAGCATTATATGCTCTTAGTACTTTACTGACAGCTGTTTCTCAAGGCCATCTGTAACAGATTGTGTTTAAATAACAAGAATAAGTGTTCTGGTGATGAAAGGGAGTTGAGGGGAATTTACCTTTCCAAGAAAATGTAATTCTTCATATTTTTCCTGGCAGAGCAGACCACAGGCTGCTATCTCCCTTGAGAGCTGGATGACATTGCGAATGATGGCGGCGCTTCCTGGTGGATGGATGTGGGGCTACCTTTACGCAGCTACAGCAACTGTTTACTTAATATTCTGATCTATCTAAACCAAAAAATGGGTGGGAGGAGTTCTCGGCAAAAACAGGCTTTTCTTCTCTTGACTCTATTAAAAGTGGACCTACTTGCCTCAAACCACAGGTCTGAGAAGGTTGATGGACATCTTGGGTTTCTTCCAGATTGGCCCTTGGGTTCCAATAGACCCTGACAAGTTATGGCTCAGGATTTCCTCAATGACCCCCAAAATTCTCTTTTTCACGTGGTTCTTTCTAACTGTTCTTCATGTGCCAGGACTCCTCTATATCTTAAGCCAGTGTTTCCCAACCTAGTTTATCCCAGGCCCCCTACGATGAATTGATAGTTAATTTTATGCTACTGACTAAAAATTTTGTTAAATTTGAATTTATAGAGGTTGTATTATGAAATCAATAGGTATTTTGAATGTGCTTTTTCAAACTACCTGTGTCTCCCCCCATCCTATCTTGAGAATCATTGCTCTAAAGCAGTGTTTTTAACCTTGGAAACACACATAGCTCATAGGAAATGCTCAACAGTTCTGGGAAGGGCCTGAGGATCGAATTTGAGAAACACCACATGAAAAGTTAAGCACAGTGGGCCTTGACTTGGTGCTATAGGGCTCAGAGGTGCACGAGCAGATGCTGTGATCATGTGGCAACACTGTTAAGGGAGATGATCGTCCAGGTACACCTGAACAAGGGTGTATTGATTTGTTTAGATTATGAACAAAAGTTAAACACAAATTCAAAACATTATCATAAAAAACTTGCAACCCCCTCCCTCAAGAATGTCTGTGAAAGTAGCCGAATTTGAGAAACACTGTCTTAAATGATTTTCTCTCCTTTTATCCCTCACTCTACGAAAGCTCAAGAACCCCTCATTATGAAGTTTGTTCTAGAATTGCAAGATTAAGTTAATTTCCTTTTGCAGTCTCTAGTGTGAAAGGTTAATTTCTTCTGTAATAAAGAAGCAATCCTAGATGACGGTGATTTTTTTGGTTCGACTCTTTTCTATGCTCTCAGGTCCTTAAGAAATGATCTGAATGTGAACACATCAATTTGAAGCTCTATCCATGTTTGTCCCCTGCCATTATGAATAAAGGCACATGCTATTGCCCTTCACTGAGAACAAATGGTTGATGTGATTTTTTAAATTTCATATTGAAATGACAATTTGAAAATAATATGTCAGCACTAGCCTATTGAATAATGTTTAGGGTTCAATAATATACATTTTTTTTCATTTCACATTCCATGTTTCCATTTCGCACCTAATACCCTTGGACTTTTGGCTTCCCTTCCCTTCCCTTCCCTTCCCTTCCCTTCCCTGTGGGCTCTGGCCACTCCCTTCAAGCAGACTGAGGTTACACACTGTGCAACACTACGAATGCCACCCCCTGGAGTGTACTGGGGACCGCCAACCTGCACAGTCCCTGATCCACTCCAGACCACTCACCTCCACTTTCACACCTCTGTGTCCTGCTTATTGTGTTTCTCTCCTTTGCTCTACTCTTAAATCCCTTCTTCAAGCCCCGACTTACAATCTCCCCTGTACCTACCCTCTCTTCTCACTGATTTTTGACTAAAAATCGCCACTGCTCCCTCTTTTATAATCCGAAAGCACTCTGCATCTGGGTACTTTACAGCTCTCTCATCAGGATGTATTGTAGTTGATCATCTGTACTGGTCTCTTGTCAGATTCAGAAACACCCAAGGGCAAGAGCTGGGCTTTAACATCTTTGTATGCCCAGTTCCTAGCACCGAAGTTCTACCTTATCAGAGCAATAACTGCAAATGATTTACCATGTCAATAAATACTCAGCCTTTCCTCCTCGGCCCCTCCCAACCCCAATCCTTGCCACACATTTATCAATTTCATGGGTATTTAAGCCTATTTAAAAGTGTTGTAAAATGTATTAAACATATAAGAGTGCAAACAGGAAGCGTTCTGTGTAACACCTGGGTGCCTGCCTTCTTGGTTAAGAAATAAAGCAACTATTTAACAGTGATTCTAAAGTACTGATAAAGTACTTCAGAGGCCCGCCCATGTGCTCCTCCCCAACGAACCCTTTCCTCCCTCCGCAGAGGAACCTAGCTCATTTCCGCTGTAATCACTCTGATACTTTATAGTTTCACTCCCTGCGATACCCCTAAGCAACACATTTTAGTTTTGAAAAGCCATGCCAAACACCAACCTAGCTGTGTGAGAAAAGGGCAATATAACAATCAGATGAACGACCCCAAGAGAAGATAAGCTGAACAGAGGCTCAGCTTCGCTGGGAATTTACCAGAGGGGTGGTCCTGAGTGATCCTTGGAAATACCAGGCACCCCATGGTTGGGGAGGCTATTGGGTGAGCAGGTCATGGGCAACCCCCAGAAATATGCTCAACAGAAGTGGGCTTCTCTGCACTTTTTGCTTCCATGGCCCACCTCCAGCCTTCAGGAGCAGGTCAGAGCAGGTGCCGCTTCTGGGTGGGTGGCACTCCCACACCCCCTCAGCTGGCTAGTGTGGGCGTGGAGAGCAGAAATGTCATCAGCACAAGGCAAACAAAGTATAGATACGGATCTGCTTCAGGCTCATTTGGGCATTCTGTTCTTAAGCAAACAAGAAAACACATCATGAAGGCTTACACTGCTCCAGTCTGCCCCGGGGGCTCTACGCCAGGGCGCCACTCTCTTCCTGGGACCTGTCTCCCTTCACTGCCACCCTAGAGATTCCATTTCCTTCTCCTGGGTTGACTCTCCCATTTCCCACAGCCCATATATATTAGTTATAGCTAAACTGCTGTAACAAAAGCATAAAATTATGCTAGAAGCTTACTTCTCATAGTCCAGGGGCAGGCAGGTGGCTTTGCTCCACAAAGTCACATCGCCCCAGGGGTTAAATATGCCACTCTGCTCACATCGCATTGGCCAGAACTTAGCCCATGGCCGGACTTCGCTGCAGGGGAGGCCAGGCAGTGGTGTCCCTGCTGGAAGCCCCTCGTCCAGCTACCGCTCGGGAAGGCACACACCTGAAGGAAGCGGGAAAATCAGCAGTGTCTTTCTCTGTTTTAGTTCGTCTTTTTCATTTCAGAGGACCGTACATCCACTATAGGTTTTAAGAAAGAGAATGGGAAGTAAGCTTTTTGAAACAGTGCTTGTCTGAAAAGATTGTTATTTTATCCTCATATTTGGTGATAGTTTGACTGGATATAGCTCCTAGTTGTTATTTTCCTCCAGAAGTTTGAAGACACTGCTCATTGACTTTGGCTTTCAGCATTGCTATTAAGACGTCTGAGGCCATTCTGATGCTTGATCCTTTGTGGATGACCTACTTGGTTATCTTGTTTGTTTATTTTGTTTTCTACTCTGGAAGCTTACAGAGTCTCCCCTTTGAGCCTTGTGCTCTAAATATCACAGTGATGTGCCTTGGCGAGGGTCTATTTTCATATATTACGGGAGCTGCCTGGAGGTTCCGAGGGCCCACTGGAAACTGTATTGGATCATTTTATGGATAGTTTCCTCCCCTCCATTTTCTTTGTGTTCTCTTTCTGGAACTCCTAGTAATCAGATATTAGCTTTCCCGGATTTGTCCATTAATATTTGTTCTATTTTCTTCCTAATTTTCTCTCTCTTTTTTTCTGAGGGATTTATTCATCTTATATTTCTATTGAGTTTTAATTTATATTTTTAATTTCCAGTAGCTCTTCAATATTATCCAAATGTTCCTTTTTTTATAGAATTGTTTTTGTTTCATGTAGTACCTTCTCTCTCTGATGTGATTTTTTTGTTTCCAATTATGATTTTTCTTTTTTGGTATTTCCAAGAGTTCCCTGGTTCTCAGTTATTTCCTTTTTTCTTATTCTTGTTTCATAGATGCAATTCCTTCTTTTATCTCTCAAAAGACATTAATTATAGTTGAGGCCTTTGGAAAAGCTGTCTTCTGATTCCTGTATTCTCCCCCTTCTCTCTGAGTCCCTATTTTCTGTTTCTATTTGAAGGCCTCCCAATGTTCTGCAGTGAACATGCACAGTCTGGTTGTCTGTAAATATTTAAGAATGACACACCAAAAACAGGTTGGAAGATCTGTGTGTGTGGATTGGGCTTGTCAACGGTTGGGCTTCACACAGAGTCTTTGTTGAGCCATTACCTTCTGCACAGGCCTTCCCTATCACTCTATTTGAAATCATTGGAGCCCAGCCGGGCGTGGCTCAGCAGCTGAGCATCGACCTAGGATCCAGGAGATCCCTGTTCAATTCCAGGTCAGGGCACATGCCCGGGTTGCAGGCTCGATCCCCAGTCTGGGGTGTGCAGGAGGCAGCCGATCAGTGACTCTTATCATTGATGTTTCTATCTCTCTGTCCCCTCTCCCTTCCTCTCTCTGAAATCAATAAAAAGACATACTTAAAAAACAAAACAAAACTGGAATTCCCCCCTACTCTTCCTTATTTTTCTCTAACTTATCACCTAATATATTGTATACTTCACTTACCTATTTTGTTTACTGTATTTACCACTCAAATGTAAGCCCCTTGAGGCCAGGGATTTGTGTCTGTTTATTTACTGCTGTATCTACAGCATGGAGAAGATTACCTGCACATAATAGGTGCTTGATACATATCTACTAGGTATTTGAATGAATGGGTAAATGAATGAATGAACGGTCAGGTACAGATCCCTCAACTGTTAGTCCCTGGACGTTTTTCCAGCCATTTGGTTTCTCCTGTTCCTCAGCTGGAGGGTTGGGCCTTGCCCCTAGTTCTGGCTGCCCGACAGGGGAAAGGGATTTGGCAGCCCCCAGTGAGTGTACAGGCTCTCCCATGATCTCCTGTCTTCTGCTGGATCCTTGCAGAGTAATTCTGTGTGAAATGCAGGGATAGAAGAGACTATAATCCAGGGAGCACTGAGAAGTTGGCAGAGGAAAGCAGCCAGAATAACCATCAGAAAAGTGCACAGCCAGAGTGCCACTCCTTCTGCTTACTTTAAAAAGCCAATGATTCAACCCCTTGTGCATGTCTCATTTTAGTAACTGCCCACAGTCTGCTGCTTCCAGTCGGACTCCTGAAACGGGACAACTGACAACCATTCCTCCCACATCAAGGCTGTCCACAGACGGCCTAAGGGGAAATGACATCCATGGGTGATACATGGGCCTGTGTGGCTGAGAGCAGTGAGTATTATTAGGCCATTATCTTGACATTTAGATGTGAGAGAAAGCCATGCTCCCTAATTCACTGCACCATAGCAATTGTTAGTGGCCCTGGAAATATTTTTAAAGAACTGGGCTCCTGATATATTTGAAATAAAAGTGTTTTCTTAAATTAATAGTGGTATTTTCTTGTTAAATACATTGAACATGTGAAGGGGCAGAATTACTCTTACTCATTAGTGGAAGAGAAGTCTGGCTTGGTCCCTTTAAGCACAAGTATTTAAACGTGGGTTTACGTCTATGCAGAGATTCATATTTCCTGTCCCCAGGTGACTCTTCTGGCCAGCTGTGCAGAGCCGAAGAAAGCAGAAGAAAGGGTCTTAGGAGGGCCAATGAAGGCGCAGTTTGTGTAGCCTCTCTGGGTTGCATCTGGTACACGTGGGGTTTCGTTCCCGGTGGCGCCCCCTGCCTCGCTGGGGCTCTCCCTCCCAGGGGCAGGGCCGCGGCCTCTGGGCAGCACCTACAGCTGGGCAGTCTCAGGGCACAGCCCGGCTGCTGCCTTCGCACTTTTCTTTTGTGGGCCTTGTGAAACTTGGGCTACTTCATCCATAAAAATTACAAGTTGTTTTTAAGGTAGGGGTTTTGCACTATCTTTCCTTATTAATCTTCCGAGTCACCCTGAGGAATGGGTATGGATGCTCTTTAACATAATCTGCCCAGGTTCTGCCCAGAGGTGCCACCCAAGGACCAGGGGGTCCACCCTGGGAATGAAGGACAACACCTCCTGGGAAGACCAGGTCAGAGAGCTCAGCTCGAAGCCGTGGCCACAGCGGTTGTCCCCCGATGCCCAGAGTGCATGACATTAGCGACAGCAAGGACAAGAGGGAGGAACTAGGATTATTGTGACTATAAGGTGCTCACACTACCTGGGGAGCAGCCGAGTGCTATGTGAAAGTGGACTTGTGTTAGTCCTAAATGTATATTGCAAACTCTAGGGCTAC